AAACAAATTCAAAATATACAAAGCAGAAGTTGAGAATCAGTTGGATAGGAAAATTAAAATACTAAGATCAGATAGAGGTGGTGAGTACACTTCTAATGAATTAAAACAATTCTGTGAAGAGAATGGAATTATTCATGAAATAACAGCTCCATATACACCTCAATCTAATGGAGTAGCTGAGAGAAAGAATAGAACACTAATGGACATGGTAAACTCAATGTTAATTAATTCTGGTGTGCCAGAAAATTTATGGGGAGAAGCTCTCATGACTGCATGTCATATACTAAATAGAATTCCATTCAAGAAATCTGATAAAACCCCTTACACAATTTGGAAGAATAGAAACCCTAATTTAGATCACCTAAAAGTGTGGGGGTGCTTAGCAAAAGTCAAAATACCTGAGAATAAAAGAAAGAAGATTGGCCCTAAAACTGTAGATGGAATTTTTATTGGCTATGCTTCTGATAGTAATGCAAATAGATTTTTAATAATCAACTCTGACATTAATGAGATAGCCAACAACACCATAATTGAAGCTAGGGATGCACATTACTTTGAAAATATTTTTCCTTACAAGACCAGAATAAACAACACAGGCCCTAGCTCTAATAATTCAGATCCTAGTTCTAATCAAGGTGAAACTAGTTCTAAACAAATTAGACCACTAGAAAGTCCAGAGGAGCCTAGGAGAAGTAAAAGAACTAGAATAGAAAAGGTCCATGAAGATTTCTATGCATTACTTGTAGAAGATTCTCCAGTTACATTTGAAGATGCAATGAAATCAGTAGATGCTCCATTTTGGAAGGAAGCTATAAATAATGAGATACAATCTATAGTTCAAAATCATACTTGGGAACTAACTGATCTTCCTTCAGGATGTAAAACCATAGGATGTAAATGGGTGTTTAAGAAGAAACTTAGACCTGATGGAACAATAGATAAATATAAAGCCAGATTAGTAGCTAAAGGATATACCCAAAAGTCTGGTATTGATTATTTTGATGTCTATTCTCCAGTAGCTAGGATTACTACCATTAGAGTCCTCATAGCTCTAGCATCCATTCACAAATTAATAATACATCAAATGGATGTTAAAACTGCATTTTTAAATGGAGACTTAGATGAAGAAATTTATATGGATCAACCTGAGGGATTTATAGCTTCTGGACAAGAAAAGAAAGTATGCAAGCTTATTAGATCACTATATGGTCTCAAACAAGCCCCAAAACAATGGCATATGAAATTTGATGAAATTATACTATCTTATGGATTTGTAATTAATCAAACAGATGAGTGTGTATATCATAAAATAGATAAAAACAACAAAATTGTGATATTATGCCTATATGTTGATGACATTCTTATTTTTGGTTCTGACATACAAATCATAAATGATATCAAACACTTTTTATCACAAAATTTTGACATGAAAGATTTAGGTCAAGCTGACCTAATTCTTAATACTAAAATCATGAAAAATGAGAATGGATATGTGCTATCACAATCACACTACATAGAGAAAATCCTTAAGAATTTTTATGATCCAAACTGTCAACCTGTTTCCACTCCATATGATCCTAATGTACATCTAAAGAAAAATACAGGTCATCCTCAATTACAAAGAGAATATGCACAAATAATTGGATCACTAGGATTCCTAACAAACTACACCAGACCTGACATTGCTTATGCAGTAAATAGACTTAGTAGATATACATCAAATCCTGATAAGAGTCACTGGGATGCTTTAGAAAGAATTTTGAGATACTTAAAAGGAACTATAAATTATGGTTTATACTATAAAGGTTATCCATCTGTACTAGAAGGTTATTCAGATGCAAATTGGATTAGTGACTCAGTAGATGTAAAATCCACCACAGGATTTGTGTTCCTTTTAGGAGGAGGAGCTGTGTCCTGGAAATCTACTAAACAAACTGTAATGGCTAGAAGTACAAAGGAATCAGAAATGATAGCTCTTGATACTACTAGTATAGAAGCTGAATGGTTAAAAGATTTATTAACTGAAATTCCACTAATGCAAAAACCATTACCAGCTATTTCTATTCATTGTGATTGCAGGTCAGCGATTGACAAATGCCATCAAGAGAATGCAAATGTGAAGATGAATCGACACTTGAAAGTGCGACATAAATCCTTGAGATATAAGATGAAAAACCATATAATAGCCTTAGATTTTGTAAGATCAGAGAAAAATCTTGCAGATCACTTAACTAAAGGCTTATCTAGGACAGTGGTCCTAGAATCATCGAGGGGGATGGGGTTAAGCCCATAAGAAAAATCACTGCAGTGGCAACCCAACCTCGCAGAGGTTCAATGGGTAGAAACAAACTGAATGAGTGATTAATTGTGAGGAGCACTGAATTTAATTGCTCCCATCCCTAGGGTGATCAGTGCTCATAAAAAGCAAGTGAAAGGTTCAGTCTAACTCTTAATGAATCCAAGACCCATGAGGCAGGATGCTTACTTGCTCGCATCCTTATTAGGATTCACCTATATGTGTGTAGTTGTGAGGCCGCGACTATGGGATCAGGGCTGCTCCCTAGTAACACACATGAAAGATACCTGCGCAAGGCCGATAATAGCGCAACCCGTTTAGAATTCTTCAAAACTGTACTATGTGTGCTTTCTGTAGAAATCCGATAAATGAGACTGGTTCAAGGCGAAGTCCACCAAGCTCTCACGGATCTATACAACTGTCACTAAGTGAAGGTTCAAACCGAAAGGTACCTCCACCTATTACATAGTATAAGGGAACCAGCAATCGTATTTATTTTTAAGTTCTTCTTTTATTGTTATTTCTGAACTATTTTAAGTTTTAAGTTATGTGGGGGATTGTTGGAATTATATAATAAAAGATAACTTAAAACTTGACTTTGTAGAGGAAAAGAGGGAAAGTTTAGTCCCACATAGGAAATGGGATAGAAAAAAGGGGTCCTTATAAGCCTTCCCTTTCTCTCCTATGCCTAGAAGAAAACAAAGGTTATGCTCCACACCACACACGAACGGCTGTTTTTTCCCCTATAAAAACCAACACCTGCCGAAGGCTAAAGACACAGATTTACAAACGAATTTCTCCTCTTCTTCTCTTTCAAAATATTTGCTATTATATTCTGTTGGTTCCCTGAAAGTCTAGAAGAGTTCGCAAAGCCTTCTTGAAGCTCGTGCCGACGAGAAGGAGGTCACCTGACCAAGGGTCGTTGTATCTCCGGGAACTTTTGCCGCGTAACCCTGTACGAGAGGGGGCAATTAGTTTCTTGGGACAGTGCTTGCACGCCTCGACCATCAGGCCGTATTTCTAACCCTTATTTTTTTTTGTTTGAATTATTTCTTACATCTGCGTTACAATATTAATCCGTGATTATCTGTTAATTATTAAATTGCTTAAACTGATTTTCGTTATTGTCTAAACAGCTAATATTCCTAACATGTTGAACAATTAAAAAAAAAGAACAGTTATTTTCAAACTTGAGCCGGATTCAATCTTGGCTCAGTTTTAGTTTCAAGAAGCAGGTGATATTTAGCCGCTACATCCCTAATCTCCACTGAACTTTTACCAAAAACATCGCAGAGCGAAAAAAAAAGGAGGCATGGGCTTCGTGTAAGGACTCCTAAAAAAAGCAGCTGAGATCCGTGTCGTTTTAGCGACAGGACAGGCGCTTTGGGGTGTGGGCCCCACAGTCCCCGCCTACGGGAGCCTCCTGATGCTTTGTCGACAGAATCCCCCGTCCATGGCCAAATCCATGTGCTCCCATCCACCCATCCATCATCATCATCATGATGTCCATGCCATCCCATGATAAACTCCCCCCTCAATAACTCAACCCACGGCCAGGATGACGTCCACGTCCAACAAAGACCACCACTCGTCGAAATTTGGGCTTCTGTCAATACGACCCAAGTTTCACTCCCCTATTATTTTTAAGCCCACCACTTCCCGCGTCCCGCAGTCAAAATTTACTTTCAAACCTACTTTTGTATTCTAGTATTAATTAATAAAGCTATACTGTTTTAAGTACGGCAAGCTGTGATGTCTTGCTTTATTACGAATCGGCAGTAGCCAGTAAGTGGTTAATTACATTTTGCTTTAAGCTATCGGCTTGTTGATCGATTTAACCCGAAATGGTAAATTCAGGTTTAGCATCCTATCGTTGCCAGAGAAACTAAGTATTTACTGCTGAAAATATTAATTTGATGATTCATTCATCTTACGCGCTGACCTATTGAAATATATAAAGGTGGGTTTTTCCAAAATAATCCAGTAAAGAATTTCGGGTTAGCAAAATAGAGAGGGTACTTGAAACAACGGCAGTCGGATAGAGGGTTAATGTTTAAAAAGTCTAAAAATTTATTTATTTGTCGGCCCTCCATCATACGTCGCTTTCTGTCATAAATGACGGAGGTTAGTGGGAGCCCAACACCGAGGCGATGAGCGGGAAATTAGAAATAAAAAAATAAAATAAAAAAGAGCGAGAGCTGTTTTCAGTCTTTTTCTTCTTTTGTTACAAGATTCCCCCTCTTTCTCTTTCTTCGCTACTCTCTCTCTCTCTTTCTCTCTCTCTCTCTCATCGTCGTCGTCTCCATGGCTCTAGCGCTGGAGGGATTCTCCATCAGGTGAAGTACTACCTCCCTCAAATCTCTTGTTTCCTTTTTACGAGTCCCAGCTTCTCAAATCTTAATTTAATTTGTTTCGAATTTACTACTTATTTCCTCTTCAAAATTAGAGAATATGCTGCTAATACGAGGAGCATCAATTTCGACAAGTGCTGGCCTTTCGCCGGCGGAGGGGAGAGATCGTTGCCGGAGATCTCGGTACGGAAGTTTAGGTTTTGGACGGAGGAGGTTAAGGCCGACGAGATGCCGCCAGCTAGAGCTCCGGCCAGGGGAAAGCAACGGACTCCGAAGAAACGGTCGATTGTGGAACTGTTCGCTGCAGCGCCGCCGATTGAGGCGGCAGAAGCGGACG